TGTACACAAAGACAACTCACCACACAAGATTAACTATTTGATTGAATTTTAGGTACTTTAGTTGTTGGTTAAAGAATTAATTTTTTATTTGTAATACAGGCTGGTGTGGTGCTGGAGCTGATCACTACGAGCCTTTAATTGCTCAGCCATCTTCACTTGTTTCCCAGGAGAAGGTTGCTTTTGTACTTTGAGGGAATTAGTCCCTGCAGTTTTGTGACCTAGAGAGAGGTTGAATAGAAGTAGCCGCCAAATTTGTTTTTCTCCACAGAGTTTGACTTGCAATGTTCACCTGATATTTTTTTTCCCAAATAATCAGGAGGATATGATTGCATGACACCATTTTTTGTTAAGATCATTTAGCATCGATCATCATTCGACTCGCAGGTTCCTGCACTTGTAGTATTTGTAGTGAGTTTTATCGGCATTTGTTATTGTTGCTGGGTTTTCATAGGGTGCTTGTATGATCTTGAATTTCTCGCCAAAGATGGAACAGCGCTTGTATGTTCAAAGTTTAATTTGACTGATTAATTTCATCTATGCACCACAATTGTGGAACCATGATGACAGCTTATTTTCGGAGAACTCTGGTCATGGAAATTGCGAGGCACTGAATGAAGGCAAGCTGAACTGTGTCTGAATATTAATTACTCAGCTTGGCTAAAATGGTTTATTTCCATAGTTCTATACAAAGAGATGCAAAAAAAAATGAGGCGATCTCTACTTATTTATTTCATTAGAGATCTCTACTGGCCCTTGCGTGGTTCTTCGGTGTTTTTTAGCAGAATGCAATCAAAGCTCAGACAGTTCTCACGATTTTACTAGATTCTGTAATGAATAAATGGTTGAGCATTGTAAGAAAAGCAATATGATTATAATTTCTCCATGGTTTGTAGAAATTCTCTAATAGTCAGCTTCATGAGGAGGTCCCGATTATTTTTCTAATCAATGTAAGGAGCATCTCTTCAAACAGCATTAGTTGCCTTATCATGGGTTAGAATAGTTAGATATGCAATCTCCTTATAAATAGATAAATTAGAATAGTTAGATAAATTAACTAGTACTTGTTTAATTAAATAGATAAATTAGAATAGTTAGATATGCAATCTCCTTGTAAATATAAAGGCTAATGCATTCAGAATTTAAGTATGTTGATAAAAAATGTTGATATAAATATGTTGATAAAAGAAAATATGTGTTAAGAGTTGAATATCACGATCACAGAAGCAGATCATAAGGTTTTTTCAACTCCCAAGTGCAAGTAACAGCTTCAATGTTAGGCAGCAAGCAGTAGACATCACGTTGCAGCAGTAGCAAAAAGTTTTGGCCGTCCAGCAGTTCTGTAGCAGTAGCCTTTCCCAGCAAAAAAAATAATAATAATAATTCCAATAGACAGCAGCTTGCAGCAATTATCAGATCCTACCTCGCACAGCGTTCAGCAGCATGGGCGCGATAACACTTCTTTGCGCCAACAGTAGCAGCAGCAGGCCTAGGTAGAAGCACCTCCTTCACAGTCGGAAAAAAATATAAAAAAATCCAAGAGCAAAATCGAACCAATAGAGTTTTTAGGCCATTCAATTAAAAGGATGGGTTCTAATATAAAATACATGGATAGTTAAGTGCTGACAAAAACACCATTGAACATTGAAAAAATCAAATGCAATCTTTATTTGAGTATGATGCCTGGGACGTTGTCAAGAACAAAGTTCGAAAGAAAAATGAATGTGTAAGACACAAATCCAGCCAAGGAAAAAAAAAAAACATTAAAAAGCCTGATATCACTTCTTGCAAGAGGTGGAATTATTTGTTTTGGAGAAGATCATGCATGTTGAAAGTGCAAGGGAAACTTATTGGATATTTTTGACAAATCTTACAGGGATTTAGACAAGATAAAGAAGGTAAAGTTGTAGACTTTACAGGCATAGTTTGAGCTTCTCTGAATGAAAGACAATGAGAATATTGAAGAACATTTCTCACACAAACAAAAATTGGTTAATCAAAAGAAAGCTAATGGAGAAAAGATGATAGATCATCTAGTTATGGAAAAAATTAAACGAAGCCTAACATCTTGTTTTGAGTATGTGATAGCAGTTATTAAAAAATCAAAAAAATTGAATGAGATATCTATTAATGAATTAGAAGGCTCGTTAGCAGCTCATCAGCATCGATGAATTATAAGGCTCGCTAGTCGCAAGACTTATTATATATCTTTTTTTTGTGTGCATGTGACAGTGCTCTTCCCCTTCTCAATATTGGAGTCATTGCTTACTTATTTTCTCACCCTAAATGAGCTAGCTCTAATATCTGCTCATGGTTACCATAAAAATCTATGCCCTGCTTATTTCCTACCATTTATAAAGAAAGGCAAAAAATGAAGAAACCAAATCTAATCAATAGAGAAACTAGAGGAACCATCTACATAGTATTCTCCAAAGTCTTTCATTATTACAACACAAGCTTTCATAAAAGGCAATAAAAAAAGTATTGTAATTCCTGTGGCTGTTTGTAAAGTTTAATGTTAATAAAATATAAATTAATTCAATTAAAAATTAAAAAATAATTGCATGTACTTAGTAGTATCATTACCTAAACCAATTTAACTATAATTTTATTCAAATACCTTATACATATTTTTTGTTGTTCATAAATTTTAATTACAATTTTTACCAAACAAGTATCTAACTAACTATAACTAACCTCACTTTTTTTAAACTTGTTTTTTTTCCAACTATAACCATAAAAGATATCACAATATCAAACACACTCTAAGTTAATGAACTCACGACACCTTTAAATAAAGGTAATTAGTAATCATCTAGTAGTAGGTGGCTCAGTGATAAGAGTTTGAGACAAAGAGGTTTGCTTCTCCTGTATCTCAAGTTCAAGCCTTATAGTTATTAATATGATGACTACTGAAGGATTATATGGTTATTAACTTTAAAATCTGTGAGATTGACCCAAACACCTATGTTAATTAAAAAAAAGGTAATTAGTAACACTTACAAGTGTTATTTAACTGGTTAAATTTTAAGTTTATTTTTTAAATATTACTAGTTTGAGTCTTATAAATTTTAGGATCATTAAAAATTTATATAATCGTTAATTTCAGAATTCTTAAAATTAGTCAAGGTGCTTATAAGTTTATCTGGATACTCAGATTAATAATAATAATAAAAATAAAAATAACTATCATTTATATCTTTAAGAAGAAAGGTCATATCTAGATAAGGTTCTTATTGGTGGTAACTGAACATAACCACTAAAGATTACATCAATAAAAATCATAACAGTAAAAATATTTTCATTATCAATATTTAATTTATAGTAAAAATAATAGAAGTAATCTCTGATGACAGTAGATGGAAAATACATGGAAAAAATAATAATCATATAGTAATAAAAATAATATATTTTAAAAGTGTTAGCGCCAAGACAGGACTTTCCTTGGTTTTCTTTACAAAAATGACGAATTCTCTATATTAAATGATATTATGAAAAAAGAAAATGAAAATAAAAAAAAAACTTAGAATGAAAAATTATAAAACTAATTAAGCAAGTGGGTTTATATTTATCTTACTTATTAGTTAGGATTTAATTTTAGATAATAACAGAAGCTTAAAAAAAACCACTAATGAGTAACATAAATATAAAATAACGTAATTAATTAATTAATTAATTAATTTTATTTTACTTTTTGTTGACTTTTCATCTTGATAAAGAACCAAAAATACTAAAAAAGTCATAAAATAACTGTTATTTGGATAAATGCCACGTCAATTAATTCATTGATAATATTTAAAAAATTCAACTAGCTTAGAAATAAAGCTCCTGAGTTGGATAATTATTTAATCAATTAATCTTAATAATCGCATTCATTCTCTTTATTCAAAATAGTTGATAGTTTATACTTGGTATTTGATAAGCTAAAATGACTTGTGGTCAGTAACCGTAAAAAATCTTTTTTTATAGAGGTGAAGAATCTTTACTGTTTAAATAATTATTTAAAAAAATAAATAAAAAATATTTAAAAAAAAGATATTTTAAAAATATATATGAAGCAGAGAATGAAGGTTGTAAACTTTTATTTTAAAAATATCATGATGTATTTGTAGATCCTACTCAGGGCATGTTCATTCCTTTACACATAAAAAAGAAAAGAAAAAGGATTATAAGTAAATTTTTTAGAGCCATTAAAAATAAAATATAAACTAATGAAAGTATTGATCAAAATTCATAGTATAAATATTCTAATAGAAATTAAAAAAAAATAGTAAGGACAAGCATTTATTTAGAAATGATCATAACGTACAAGTACTTCATATATCATTTATCTTTGTCAAATTTTGACATGTGAACTCATTTGATAAAGGGATAAATGTGGCATCGGTATATTGTAACAAAAACTGAGATTTTTTATTAATCCAATTTTATGAGTACAAGTATCTAGATAGAAAAAAAAATTAGTTCATATACTCAAATAGGAAAAAAAAAAAGTACAAGTACTTCAAATGATTTTATCTTTGCACCATTTATGAAAAAGAATCATTCTTGTTCTTTGTTTTTTATTTTCCACCTTCTTCATGAAAAAATGAAAATTAAACATATAAAATGAAACTATATACATTCGATCTAGAAAATTTTGTATGGGGGCGAGTCTCTTTCACATGACTTGTACTGTAACAATTCAAATGTTAAGTGGCCATAATAAAGTAGCTTTCCATCTATAAAATCAAGCATGGCCATGTATTTAATTGTTAGTTTAGATACTAAGATTGTGGAGGTGATCATGGCAGGCTGTACATATAGGAATCTTGCTTTGCCTAGCAAAAAAGTTACCAACCTAATTTTCTAAGTATTTTGACAATGACCTTGATACCAGTGTTCATGGGCGCTGCACCTCCTTTACAAGCTCCTTTATTGTCCCCATTCAACAAACGTGCTGCCATCTGCTTCAACTATAGACGAAAAGGCGCAAAACCATGTTCAAAAAGCATAGAAATGAAATGCCCATTTTCACCACAGTTCTCTTCTGTTCAAAAGCTTAAGCAAGAAGAATATTAAACCTGTATTTCTTTCTAGTAACCTTTTTTCTTTCTTTCTTATTTTCCTGCTGAATAACATAGATTGAAACAATGTATTAATGCACATGCATACTTAATCCTGTCCTAGTTCATGTTTATGTTATGCCTACGGGTCTGGTTTTACAGACTGGATTGTTGAATCCAGAAACTAGGGGTCTTCACTGGTTGCTGACGCTAACACATATTTATTAAGTAAAATTCCAGATGGAGAATTCAAAACCATTAACAGAAATAGTGGAAAGCGATGGAGGCTTATAACATATTCTCAACCCGCCTTGCCTTTTTAAATAAGCAATTTCCTCTACACCTAAACAACAATAAAGTAGGATTTCTTGAATCCCCACCAAAATATCCTCCATCATTTCCCTTTTCCCTCCCTTTATAAATCCTTGTCTCCATTCCACCATTGTCTGTCAGATGTGTGTCCTCACTTAGCCTTTTCTAACTAAGTTCTCCTTAGCTTTCCCCATTAAAATCATAATCTCTAAACTCACTAAGAAACCCCACTAAACTTCTTGTTATACCTCTTTCAACAATGGATACTGCAAGCAAGGCTAAAAAGCTCCAAGCTATGCGCAGTTTGAAGACTCAGTTTTATTACAATCTCATGTTTCTTTCTTTCGTTGCCTTGACGTGTAGTTTGCTTTTTTCCTGTCTTCTTTGGTTTCCATACCTATGTTCAACCATGAAGCTATTTCTATCTCTATCCATCCCAAATAAGTTTTCCTCCTTCTTTAGCCCCAAGTGCTTGTTTATACTGGTAAATGTCATTGTTGTCTTTCTTGTTGGAGAATCAAGGTTTGTTGGGTCTCACTCATCTCCAGAGGGCGAAATTTATGATGAATATGTAGAGAGGAGCTGGAGTCTTAGAGGTGTGTCAGCTCATCAAGACAAGGCAGAGGAGAGTAAACTGGAGGTGAACTTGGTTGACCAAGAGACTAATGTTCAAGATAAAGAAGTAGTACTGAAGGAAGAAGTTTCTGAATTAACCAACAAAGGAGATAAAGAAGTAGCGGTGAAGGAAGAAGAGGATGGAGAAGCTAATAAATTAACCAGCAAAGGAAAGAAGGATGCTCATGAAGAGGTTAAAGTAAAAGAAGATAGGCACGAGGAGAAGGAAATAAGTGTAGAAGAAGAAGAGAGTGGATTGCCTCCTGAGGAACTAAACAGAAGAGTCGAAGAGTTCATTGCAAGGGTTTATAAGCAAAGGTGGCTTCAAGCTCAGTTATTAGTCTGTTGTGAGGCATCATTACTAGGATCCAGACACTGTAGTGCCATCAGAAAGTTGGAGTAAATACTGTATTCCTTGCCGCTATGGTCATTATTTTCGGCACAATAAATCTGCGTACTTGGAACTTAGGAGAAGGGCTTTGTAATTAATCTGTACTTATAAATATTTATCTCTATTGACAAACAGTTTATAAATAAAGAGAATTCTTCATTTTTAATTTTTTTTACCTTTTAATTGAAAAGGAACGGCGAGAGGAGGGGAAACAAAAATGCTCTGGTGCTTTAAACAGAAGTGCTGACAATAAATATGGTATTGTAAAGGAAAATTTGGTGTTCTTAATTATTTTAGCCCCTTTGCAACTCCCAGCCTGATCCACGCAATTTTTTTTTTAATTAAGCGAGGCACCTCAATATACATAAATTACATAATTTAATGAATCATTAGAGGACTTCCAGATGACATGATTAAGTAAATTATTCTTATTCCTTGTTTTTAATCTCACAAGTTTAATTTTCATTCTCATTCATATACTCTTCATTTTCATTTTAAAACTTCTTTTGCACCCCAATCATTCCATTTTTTATTACCAAATAACATCATCATGGCTGTGGAATTCCAAGACACTTGAAATCATGATCCATTCCCTTATTAAGTAATTTGCGAAGTCATTGGGCATGAGTTATCCAGAATAAAACAATACACAATATAAAGAGGATAATTTAAAGAGATGGACAAAATTAGCTACCTGTGTAACCTCGCTATAATCAATGACAGGAAAGAAAAATTATTGGTTGTCTACATAAAACACGCGCTAACAAACAAGATTTCTAAGCAAAACCCAGTTATCACAAGCTTGCAGTGTAATGTTGGGTCGTGAGACATGGAAGACATCCAGTTGTTGCTGTTGACTCCTTAGGTGGGGAGCGGTGGGTTTGAAATGCCAAGGGGAATATTGCTTTATTAGGAGGCAAGACAACGCTGTTTCAAATGGAACTCCTTGGAATCTGGGAGTATTTTCTGGGCCAGCCGGCATCCATTGTGACTTTGACCCCTGCTTGGCTCATATTCCTTCCTTAGCACATAAGAGTGCAGTATGTGGGCGGTGGGAGTACCAAAATACAATATGTCAAGGGGAATAATTGATCAATTTTGTTAATTTAAGTAATTTAATTTATTTTTTTAGATAAAATATATGATAATTTGATATAGAAAGCTTTGATAAATAATAATAAATGATTAATAACTATAATAATAATAGGTAATGTCTGATAAATTAAATGACTGATAACTAATATATATATATATATATATATATATATATATATATTGGATTCTTTGATTATAAAATCAGTAATTTTATAATAAGAAAAAATATAATAATATTTTAAAAAGATAAATTTTAAAAATATATAAAATTAAAACATTAAAAATAAAAAAATTATAAGCATTTAACTAAATGATTCATGGTATATTTATAGTATATGAATGTTATTATTTTATAAAAAAATAACTAAAATATAATTTTATTATTATAATATTTTGAATTATATTTAATTTAAAATAATATGCATTCAATCACCCCGCACAAGCACAAACGTGTGCGGTCAACTTCAAGTTATTCCTACATGGAAACTTTGTTTCATAAATACTTTAAGAAAAGTAATGCGTAAAATTTCATATTTTGGATTTACATGCAAGATTACGGTTTAGATACATTGAAGTAAATCATTTTTAAGTTCCAGCACAAAGGCCAGCGGTTGTTTGGTGTCGGTTTCGTTTTATAGTTTCTCCTTCTATTTTCGAAAAAACGAGGAACAGGATATGAAAGCTTATTTATTTTTGGACACGTGTCCATAAATTGTCCTGTAAAAGACGGGTGGGTTTGGTTGTTTTGTTTTTTTTTATATATATAATTATAGTTGTTCCGGTTAGCTTATATGTATTCTTATTAATTTTTTAACATTTTAAAATTAATAATTAAATAAAATTTAATTAATTCTCATATTTATAATACTTTAGCTAGTAATTTTTGAAAAGTAAATCCATAACGAGTTATACCCCATTAAATTGAGAAGATAGTAGATGGCAGCGTCCATCTAATTTTATCTGTTCTTTAGAGAGCGAGCTCGTAAACACTCTTACATTATTGTACCCAATAAGAATGTAGGCCCAAGATCATTGGGGCCTCAAAGTTATACAAGCCTCCTCAGTTGGACTTTTACTATCTTGGAACTCTACTCAGCCCCAGGTCCCAGAGATGAACAATCCTCGACTTGGTCCTGAAGGTGTCGTCGGCCCATCTAAGCAACCAGCGAGCCAGACGACACATATCTAATGGAGACAACTTTACCGGTGGCTCATTCTCGAGCGATAGGTTTTAATGTGAAATTGCATGCAGCTCACGGTATGGCTCTGTAATTTACTCAAGAATAATATTCTTTGCTTTAGCCAATTAAGAGTGGACAGAGTGTTAGTTAAATAATAATAATATTTTCTTAAGGCATGCTGGGACAGGTAAGATTGTTAGGCCCTTGTGCTCTTTCGAATGCGGTGGGGGCATCGGGCCATAATATCACTATTTCACTGCCGTAATTAAATGTGTCATACTATTGGTTTTATATTTTAACTTGTAATATACTTTTATATTTTTTAATTAAATATTTTTTCTAAAAATATTTTCCTTCATGTACCTTGCTGATAAGTTTTTTTTTTAAAAAAATATTATAAACAATAAATAAGAGAAGTTTATATTTTTATAAGAATAAAAAACCAAACGTCCTCTAAAGAAAACATATTTTTTTTAAAAATAACTAATAAAAAACAACCAAGTATTCACACAGCATCGTAAAATCTCTGGATCTTGTCTTGTTCAGCTGTCTTTTCTTTTAGCAGCCCCCAATGATACAGTTTACTCACATGATTTTGACCACCCGAGAACCCAGTTATGACCGCACACCAGACCAGATGGGTTTCTTGGTTTTGACAGTCATGAATAATGCTGGCTTTACTATTATTTTTTTCCTGAGTTTTTAGGTTCTTTTCCATGTAAAATGATATCGTATCGTTAATTAAATTTAAATAAAATTGAACAGTATCATTACAGAGTATTACACCCATATAGCACATTGAAGAATAAAGAAATACAATAAAATATTAAATAAATACATAAAGCTAATTTTATTCAAATTTACTATATATTAAATAAACCACGAATTGTTAAATGATCCAAATTAATTATCTACTTTTCTCTTTAGTTTGAAATCGGTAATATTAAAAATAAATTGTTAAATGTCTCTTGAATCCTGAATTAACCCGCTGAATCAGCCGAGGTTTTACACTGATGGAAAAACCTCCGGTTTAATTAGAGAGGAATCAAATTAAAAAATAATTTCTTGATGCCATCTGTCTTCTATTTGTCTCTCTAAAGGAGTAGAAGAAGTAATTAATTAATTTATTCTCCTTCTCTCTCTTACAAAAGAAAAAAAAAATACAGGTGTTGCTTGCAAAGACAAAAGAGCAGCCTTTCGGAGATCTCAAGGGCCTTGCGGTTGCGCTCACCCCTCGACGTTTCCGAGGTTATTCTGAGGCCTCAGTCACCACCATTGCCAACTCCCTCAAAACCCATCTCTTTGATTCCTCCAAAACACACACACACACACGAGCACGCACACACTCACGCACTCACACTTTTAAAAGAGAAAGCAGAGATTGTTATCAATATACAAAGATAAACAAAAGAAGAATGGCTGCACTTTATTCGACGACATGTCGTTCACATTCATACTCTCTATTACCTTCTTCTTCTTCGTCATCATCATTCCATGGGCAGAATCATCAACGATTAAACTTCTCTTCTTATATTGCGAAAAGGGTTTTACCAGCTAAGGTTTCTTTTCACTCTCGAAGAAATTATCATTTAAATGTGGTTCTCATGCAAGATGGTTAGTCCTTTTAGTTTTATTGTTCTCGTCTTCTTTTTTTTCCTTTTTTTTTCTAAAAACGATTGTTTTTTTAGTCGTATGAATTGTTTAGCAGATTTATTTGTATATTTTTTGACATGTTTGGTTAAATTGCCTACTTGTACCGTTGGGTGTCTTTTTGATTGCCGAATGCTTGATTTGCCTTTTGTTTTATTGCTATAAAATCCAAGGACGCCCTTTAATCTATATATATGGCTTCGGTTGTGATCAGGGTTTATATATATATAGAAACTTAAAAACTGTATACAAGTCAGAGAATTTTTCTGCTTTTGATATTTTCACTCGTCATTTTTTGAGATATTACTTGATCACTCTCTTTGTGAATAATGAATATCTATGCTCTCTTGTTTGTTCTTATTTGAATGGGAACTGATTGCAGGTGCAGTGGCCACTCCAGCGACCTTGGTTGAAAATGAGACTCCTTTTAAGAAATTGAAAGGTGGGTTGTTGTCTTCAGTGCCATTAATTCAGGAATTCAAGGAAGCAGCTAGTTTTGATGTGAATAAAGATGAGCCAACTGTCAGTATCACTGTGGTTGGTGCATCTGGGGACCTTGCGAAGAAAAAGATATTTCCTGCACTTTTTGCTCTTTATTACGAGGGTTGTCTCCCGAAGGTTCAAATTTGATTTTTTCTGTCGTCTGTCTACACTTGAAAGTTTGATTTCAATTTTCGATTGTTTATAAAGTTTTCTTTTTGAGCTAATGATAATATATTAAGTTGTGAAGTTATTTGGTGGCAGCATTTTACAATCTTTGGCTATGCTCGGAGCAAGATGACTGATGCTGAACTTAGAAACATGGTTAGCAAGACACTTACTTGCAGGATTGATAAAAGGTGACTTTGGATCATTTTTTGGCCTTGACGTGAAGTTTACATGTTATAAATATCCATGATTTATTTGGAGGTTGGGACATGATATGTACTGCTGCTTCTGAATTTTCAGGGAGAACTGTGGTGAAAAGATTGACCAGTTTCTTAAGAGATGTTTCTACCATTCTGGTCAATATGATTCACTAGAAAACTTTGCTGAGTTAGACAAGAAGTTGAAAGAACATGAGGTAATGGGGGTCTAGGTCAGCACTCTAACAGAATGGATTATCTCTTTTAGTAGTGAATGACTTAATGGTGATTGGCATGTAAATTGAACAATTAGGAAAATTCTCTTTTCCGTCTGTGGTTATGTGGATTGGAGGGTTTCCTGATAAGTATATCACTTTTGACTAATGGAGTCAATT